TACAAGATTAAACTCCAACATGAATTGTGTTGAATGTATTTAGCAAAATTAAGTAGGATGCTTAAAGTAGTTGAGCATAGTATAACTTGAAAGAAATGTTCTAAATGGTTCAAATGGAAAAGGTTTAAGAAGGATGGGGACGACACTAAGAAGCTAAAGGCTAAAGAAAAGGAAAATAAGTTGTCAATTCGAAATCCTAAGGCTACTAAAATGTCAAATGCTATTATAAATAGCAAACGTTTCAAATTGAGGACTAGCTCCAAGAAAATTAGAAATCACCCCATAGAGTACAATTGGAAGTAAAGAATGGAAATGTTCCACATCAAGTATTATAGAAATTGATTTAGCAAAGTTCTACTTATTTAACATTTGATGTCAGGATTAGTTCTCTCATTGAAGAATGTAGTTGAGCTAATGAGTAGAAATTTGGATAAGAGAGAAGTAAATCTACAATATGAGAAGCAAATGTTGTTTTTACATGTATAACTTTACATCTCACTTAACCATATAATTTAGCATCGAATTATATAATCGTAATTACATTCTTTCTATAGTCAAAACATCATTTCATTGCGGTTATCACTAAATGTCAAAGATTCAAAAGCGTGAAATAAATGTTATCTTGTGCTCAGTTAAATCAAGGAATGTTTTGAACGCTAAATAGGTTAAAGAGTTCTATATATTAGATATTGATAATCCATTTCTATATAAATCATCTCTAGAAATGTCAATTTGATCAAAATAAAATAGAATCGCATACGGAAGCTCCAAAGGGATGGACTTCTAACATCATAAGATTATGAATCCACTGATGTATGTGAATCTTATTGTAGTTTGATAATTGACAAGTTCATCTTTTGGAGAAAAGGTGACGTGAACCTAAGGTTGAATACATAACGATGTAAGAAAACTTAAAATTCAAAGACTAGAAATGAACATGGACACTTCATTTGTGATATGATCACACATGCTTACATGAAGCATAAATCTGAAAATTTTGAAGGAGTTCAATAAGTTTCAGATTGAAGAGTGAAATAGACTTGACAATACAATGAAAGCATTGCGATATGATCGTGATGGTGAACATTTGAGTGAAAATATTAACTTGGCAAGAATTCAAAAGCATGTATGATATGATCATACTGATGAGCATTTGAGTCAGGAACTTGATGATCATCCCGAGGATAAGGAAATTAGTTTACAACCTACTCCACCAACTGAAAATGTTTTCCAAATGGAGGAATTAAACTATATAAGATATATCATGATTCAGGATGAATCATACCTATCTTCCAAACAATCGTTCTAAGGATACACTTTTAAAATGAGCTTTTATACTAAACAGGAGTGCGTCAAGTCAAACGGTAGAAAAGGCTTCATATAAGATATGGATAAGAAAAGTTCTTATTTTGTCTTTCTAAAAAATTAAGAATAAGAAACTTGTATTAAAATGTTTAGTGCAATGTTGAATTCTAAAGCAAAAGGATACTACAACCACAAGATGTTTGAGAACAAAGTGTTTGTTGAGGTGCCTTTTTGGAAAAGATTTCATTTTCAAAAAGGCAAGTGGGAGTAATTTATGTAAATCTCGAAAAGTTTGAGAAGAGCAACAAACAAAAATGGTTTCATCTCGAAAATTTCGAGAAGAGCAACAAATGAACATGGCTTACCCTATGCTAAAAGAGCATTTTCATAAGGCAAGTGGGAGTATATGAATCTCGAAGGTGTTCGAGAGAACCAACAAATGTGCATGATTCACACCATGTTAAAAACGACAACACGTGGTCTCATTCCATGTATACCCTTCTTATGTTGTTCCCCATTGAAAATAAGTTTTCACTTGTTGCGTATAAACCCACAAAGTCTACTAGATCTAAACCATTAGCCAAAGAAATAAGCTTGATGGTTAAGAAATTTTGAAATATTGATTTTAGAATGTAAGGAATATACTGGTCATAGGTAAGATTTGACGAGTCACAACTCCCAAATAGCTTAATACCATGAGAATCTGAAATGGTTTCCATGTCTGAAATTGAGTGTGAGACACTTGGTTGATTTGCATGAATTGGGTGAGATCCATTGAATGAAAATAAGTAGACAAGGAAGAAAAATGTTTTCTAAGCATAGATTAGTCGCTAAAGGATTTAATTATTGACTATGATGAAACCTTTCATTACTAATATTGCTTATACCTATTCAGATACTTCTAGTGATTTCTACCTTATGTGACGGTAGATGAAGTTCAAAACACTTTCTTGAAATTGTTCATGAAAGAGAATGCGTATATGATACACACAAGAACGTTTTGAAGGTCCAAAAATTCCTAGAGATGCATGTAAGCTTTAAAGTTTCATTAATGGATTGAAGTAAGCAAATCATGGAGTAAATTCTTCGATTTAGTGAGTTGATCAATTGGTTGATAGTTTCATAAATGAAGAAATTTGTGCACACAAGAAGTTTAGTGAGAGCTATGTAGTCTTTTTGGTTTTGTATGTAGATGACATACTTCTTACAAGATATGATGTTCCCATACTTGAATTGGTCAAGTAATGGCTAATGAATTGTTATTGTATCAAAGACCTTGAAGAGTTAAATGAGTACATCTTGGGAATCAAGATTTATAGAGATAGATCTTGAAGGGCGATTGAACTTGATTAAGAAACTTATATAGATGAGGTTCTCTCAAGGTTCAAACATGAAAACTCCAAAAGAGGTTTCGTTCCCATCTAATATGGCACATGGCTTAGCAAGACTTAGTGCAAAGCAACGACTGATGAGATTAAGCAAATGAATGACATTCCTTGTGCATTTGCAAAGGATTCGTCATGAATGTAAGTTATGCTTTATACTCGTTTAATGCACGCTTAAGGCATATGTGCAGTTTTCAATCGAATTCTGATATATGATATTGGAATTTATACAGTTCAAAGTTTCCTAAAGTACTTGGAGAAGGACAGAAGGCAACGTCTATGTATATGGAGATAAACTATCATAAAAGAAAAGTTCGCAAAGTTCATATGGATGAGAATGTCTCAAAATTTGTTAACTAAACTATTTAAAAAGCCTAAATATGAAAGTCATAATAGGTTTATTAGAAATTGAATATATTAGATGGCTTTGATTGTGTATTGGACACAGTTGCAAAACTATCAATTGTCTTCTCCCTATGTTTATCAATGTGAAACCAAGTTTCATACTTATTTAATCATGATTTAGTATTAAATAAAATGTCCAAAATATTTTATGGAATTCAATGGGTTTGTCAAATCCGTGATTTGATGAATGAAACCCCATAAGTGAACTGAATTCATGAAATATTTAAGTTCCTAATCCAAGTCATTAAATTGGACATAAATGACTCATTAAAAGGAATAGCATACAAGATTGATTGATAGCGTAGTTTCATGGGCTATGGGAACATGGAGATGTTCAGTCAATTATATGGATATGTATGGTTGATACATGATCGAACTGAACTACATAGAAATTCTGAAAACTTTGAAATTGTATTAGTGGATTCCTAAGACATCAGTGGAACACTACTTAGCTCGATGATTAGTGTTACTTTGATGCTGTCAAACGCCATGCCGTAAAAGGGGACTATAAAGGCAGTGCTCGGGTTGTGCTAAAAGTTAAGTGAGAGTTTTGGTTGCCGCAAGATTGAAAAGGTCCTCCTACGTTAGATAAGATGGGTGTCTTGGCCTCTTGAAGAGTAAGGATTGGAATTGCATGGCCGTGCTCAAATGGATAATAAGATAATCATTTGTTTAAGCATTAAACTCGGATTTCAAGAAACGGTTTGAGGACTAGTATGGATGCCTTGGAGATGTAATCATACTATCAAATTGGACACTAAGAGACTTAAGAAATTTGAAGATTGCACGCTTGTCTCAGACAAGTGGGAGATTGAAGGAAATATGTCCTCAATTCTCATGCAATTACTGAATATAATATGGATCGTATTATGGAGATAATAAGTTCGTTTAGTTGGGTTGTTTTTATATCTTGCTAGAGACCAATATTGATCATTAGGTTAAACCAATGTCAACTAAATGGATCCTATCACGTTACAGTGTTAGGTCGAACAAGAAAACTGAGTCCAAAAGTTGGGCTTAGTGAATGGTTGGCAATAAGGAGTAAGAGAGGAATAAGTCTTGCCCTAATTAGATAATATGAATATATAATAAAGGCTTGGGGAAAAATAACACAAACATTCATCTTTCACAAAAAAAAAACAACGTAATATTTTTCCATTCCCCTCTCTCTACAACCGGTTAGAAGTTCTCCATAGAAGAGGAGATTAATCTCTCCCGTCCAACTAGCATTGGAGGAGGTTCGATTTACGCTTGTGGACCAATAATAGAGGAGCAACAATTGGGGCTCTAATCTCCGTAAGAAGGTTGAAGAAGCTTGGGAATTCACGCATCAAAGGTTAATTCTAAAATATTATGTGATCCTTTATTTGTATATGCATGAGATCCTGTTTAGGTGCGTATGAATGAGATTCATGAAATTCCGTTTAGTGTACCTAAAACCCTCCAGTTAAAAGTTCTAAAGCTTCACGCTCCAACTTGAGAGAGTAATGAGTATAAAGTAACAAATTGTATTATTACATGAGTTAGCTAAAGTCACGCATAGTAAAATGTGGGATTTTCGAAAGGCAATAGAAACATAGTTAAGGAAAAAACACAGGGGTCAAGACCGTCATAGAAAATCCTTAAATAGCTTAACCTGAAAACAACTCGAAATTTAGTTATCATCAAACTCAAAACTTTTATCTAAACCAAAAACCAACCCTTGAATTGAATGAAATTTTTTATATACACCCGGGTGTACCGTGCATCCAATTAACCCAAATTTTTTATATACACCCGGGTGTACCGTGCATCCAAATAACAAATAATCAATAAAATGAGAACAAAATTCTCATGAGTGCACCGAGCACCCGGGTGTATATAACAATCTCTCTTAACTAAACCATTCATTGGCAAAAACAATAATAATACTCAGGATCTGATACATATTTACTTATATTTGAAAAATGAACAGAAAACAGAGTACAACACCATAATAGCAGATGCAAAACCCGGGTTACAACAAAAGAATAACCTAGAAAACCAATGGGAACACCCAACAATGAAGTGTGCATCATTTGAATAATAGCTCATAAGAAAGTAAAAAACTACATACATACAAAATCCTTGTACTTATAGTTTAATATTACATGGTAAGCAGATAGCCTCCTACGATGTACATAACTCACCTTTTTCGTGATGCTAAGCCAGAAAATTAAGTTTTCCAGGAATGCTGCTTCATTGTATTGACCAAAATGGGGCATGAATTTGAATCTCGAGCAGCTAGCTATCCCTTTTTCTGTCTTTTAACCAGTTATCTCCAATCGATTCTATTCAATGGCTTTTGACAAGTAAATTTGGAAATGATCCAAATACTACAACTTATAGACCAACCCATTTGACCCACTTGAAAAGCCGACCAACTCTAAATGGCAAACCATAGTCTTTGGTGACTGCAGGTTCCCTCCTGGCAGCCTCAGCTTCTGACCAGACGTATACACCACGTTCTTGCCGACTGCCGGGTACAGTGTTATCCAAGATTACAGCCACAAGGAATGCAATCACCATGTGAAATGATAGCAATGTATTCAGAATATAGTTAAGCTGCACAAAGATGCCACGTCAATAATTTACTAGAAGTCTATAATCCCAAATCTATTGATTTCCAAGCGCATAATAAGATTATCAATAAAATTAGTAAAGCAATAATCACTTCTGTAAGGACACAAAATATAAAACCACTCACAAGAGCCCTTTTGCTAATAATTGATCAACAGTAGTCATTTAAGTTTTTTTAAATTTTATTCTGTAAGAGGAAATGGTAATCTAGTTTGTGTACGTTAGGTAAGATGAATGACCTTCATGGACCTGACCCCTCACTGGTCTTCCAACCCAGCCATAGCGAGCTAAAATAATGGAAATTGGGGGAGGGGGAAAAGGAAAAGGGAAGCAGTGCATCCCCAAAACAAAGAGCCCTTACTGGTTTTTCGTCACTAGACCAGACACACTTTTGTATCTAGATAGTGTAATACATTGCCATTTCCTATAAGGAAGCTCAAGATAATGTTTTTGCATTAGCAAATACTTTTTTCCCTTGCATTTTTACTTTCCACCTGTTAACATCTACAGAAGTGGTGAGGAAAGGAAAGATACAAACAAATAAACAACAGCACAGATGCACCATCTTAGATATATACTATAACTTCAAAATGCTAAATTATAAAGAAAATTCCATTGCCCTAATTATGAAATCATGACCTAACTGCTCAAATCCATACAAAAATTAGAATTCAAACAACCACCACTCGAAGCTGATGCTACATTCAGAACAATAGAAAATGACTAGCCTTAATGACTAGCCTTGTGTAATTAACTAATTACCATTCTAAATAACCAACATTAAATCAAACGCCATTTTGCAGTCAAATACTAACCACTAAATTCAAATCAAAGAAATTGGTGAGCAGTTGTTATTTGGATGCAAATGAGACTTAGGAGTGGTTTTAATTAACTTTCACATTAAGTGATTTGTGATTGAAAACTCAGTTAAATAAAAGGGATTTTTGTTTGATGATCCTTATCAAACCTATTACCAGCAGCCTATACGTGACATTAGAATGCACAGAAGTCACCGGGAAGCAAAGGAGCATACAGAACAACTTGGATGAAAAGGAGATGCTTACCCCTCCAAATTTGGTATTGACAGGTCCATGAGAGGCAACAGTGTAAGGAAGAAAATAACTATGTACGGACACATTAGACTTTGGAGAGATGCCATATTGCTGGAAGTAAGCTGGTATGGAGAGTGAGAAAAAGAGGGAGAGTCCAACAATGATAATGTTTCTGGAACTTCCGGCCTCACTGTACCGCAGATTTGATAAACCTAGCGCAGTAAGCATCCCCCACATGAAGCAGAGGAGAGCAGCAACCATGACTTGAGGTATTGATGCTATAAACCCTCCAACTTTACCTGCGAGCAGGGAAAAAGAAATTCAATATAACAGTAGGTAATGCAGGACCTCCTAGTGATCCAGACTCAGTATGTTAATTAAGGGTTAAGAAATGTGACAGCATGATGAAATGCATGAACAGCAAAATTTGTCAAGTCAAGTCACGTCATTTTCAATTATTCTTGTCATTGAACATTATATTATGCCCCAGAGTGATCTCATGAGTCATGATGACTATAATGCATGTACAGCATCTATACAATGTCTTTAAACAAGGTCTTTAGACTCTTCCATACTCCATAGTTAATAATCATGCACAGTTTTCCAAACAGCTTGTAGCTAAGAACAGAAGAGCTCACCAATAAGAGATAAGACGATCAAAATACATGCACCTAACTCAACTGCTCTCCGGCTTCCCATTTTAGTCACAGCAATAGTGTGCACATTTTCAGTGAGTGTTGTGGATCCAGTCCCTGTACCCCAAAGGCCAGCTAAAACACTGCAAAATCCTTCGAGGCCAATCCCTCGACTAAGAACACCTCGTGTTGGAGGTCTGGAGGCCACCAACAAGGATGATGCATGGTATGAACCAACCTAAGAAATTAAAAAAAAAAAAAAAAAAAAAAAGAGAGAGAGAGAGAGAGAGAGAGAGAAAATAAAAATTAGAAATATACCAAATTTAATGTCCTTGCTTAGTTATGCAATGTAAAATTTCAAGGATAAGAGCAAATCTAGAACCTATAAAGAAAACCTGGGCACATGTAAAATGCTTTAGATTGTTTAAAACATAGCATTGCATAGATGCAATAAGCCACTATTGATGCTCTGATTTCAATAGGATATCCAACATATGCACCATAAAATGTCAATTATCAGAGTAATGTTGACTGCTTGACCAGCGAAAAAGCGGCATCATAAAGATAATGGATGCTGGTGCATGTTCATATAATATTTATACGAAGGGCATACTTATCCTGGAAGGTGTTTGCTAGGGAAATATGTACTTTCTCTGTCCAACTTGATAGTTGGTTGTCTTCCCATTTTTATTGTAGTTTCTTTGATTTTATGGAGTATGGCGTTGAATTTTGACACATTTATTTTTAAGAATTGGCTTTCAAACGCTTAACACTAGTTGTTAGGAATATGTGCTGCATTTGTTCCAAGCTCACACATTTGTATCTCATATAGTACTAATTATCAGTAATGGTATGATCAGTATGTTAGGAGTCTTCACAAGGAGTGACCATTACGATTACTCATCTAACACGTGTTAGCCAAGTTTTATCGGATTGTTTATTCAGACTTGAATCAATTATCAGCCCTCCACACTATCAATACCAGAGTAACAATTTCATTTGGCTATGTTACAAAACTAGGAATTTCAACACTCTAGCCTCCTTCCAAAAATTCAATTTTCTCATTCCCATAAGCCATCAATTTAGTATCTCAATGACGATATTTGCATGTGCAAGTGTGCAATTATCTTGCAAACATCTACTGCAGGTTCTTTAATAAAGCAATCCATAATAATGGATTTCAACCTGAGTACAAGATTGCACAGAACCTTCTGCAATTCCAGTGGTGTCAAATTTAACACCCGCAGACTATGTGGGTTAATTGACAGAGTGACAGCATACATACAATAGAAGCTGATGATTGACTGCAGAAGGGAGAACAAAAAAAGAACGAAAGGCTTCATAAACAGAAAAGTTTGTGATACTATGAAAACCAAGCTACAGAACATTGAAGTTATAATAGCAATTTATGAATCTTAAACCATCATTCAAATTAATTGACAGAGAACTTACAGAATCCACTGACGCAATTATGGAGACAAAGCACATAACAAGGGCCATTTTCCAGCTGAATACAGGAGTACCCCATTGCAAAGGATAGGGAAATCTAAACCACGGTGCCATTCTTAGTGCATGAGAAGTATCTACTCGGCATTGTTTCATTCTCATAACATGCTTTTTACAGTGCTCAGATATAATATTTGACGTAGGTACATTTGGATCACAGCCTTTGTAACTGTATGCCCCTGCTGCAGTTAGAAGAAATGCGGCAGCCCACGTGATTGCCAGAGCCAAGGGTACCTGGCAACAACTTGGTATGAGATCAAACTTGCAACCCCCAACCCCCCCCCCCCCCAAGAAAAAACACACACACAAATAGCTGTTTTTGGCTTTTGGCATGACAAGCCAATTTCATTCATTACATGATCGCATTATCTTAGAAATTTCTAAAACTTCCAACATAACATTTAGCACTTAGCAGAATGATCTTAACCATCCTTTACAGATATACAAGTCTACAACCAACATTTAACGGAGGAACCACACAATGCAGGTAAAAAAAAAAAATTACAAACAGAAAAGAAACTATAGTGCGTCGTATAGCAAAGAATCAAGACATACCGCATATATAAGAAATACACGATGACCAAGAATAGATATTTTTCTTAGGTACTGCAAGAAAAATTGGTGAATGATATTAGTGTTACAGTAAACCATAATGTATAAGAAACAGCTTTTAAAAAAAAACTAAGCATAAATATCACAAGCTGAGCAGCTAGTGAGCATTTCTTACAAGAGAGAAGATAATCACAAGCAGTATCTGCACAGCACCAATCTCTAGGCAGGTACCAACTTGTGGGAAACCATAACTATAAAAAGAAAGTCCTACAGCAGCAATAGTTGGAGCAACAACCACTGGATTGATAATCCTAGAAGTGGAAACAAAAATAGAATAGATTAACCATAGGATATGACATTGCAACAAACATATAGAAAAATGGCATTACAAAAACAAGTCAAACCAGATAGTGAATAGTGAGCGAATAAATCTGCAGTGGACATTAACGTGATACTTGATAAAGTATAAAACATATTCCTGGGCCTCAACAATCAGCTTAAGCTTTTGGTTGAGTTGGTCCCCTAACATGGTATCAGAGCCAGCGTGACACAAGGTCACGGGTTCGAATCTCATCCACCCCCCACTTTCAAGTGGAATATTTTGCGCAGGGTATGAGGAGGGCACATGCTGCATCCACATTTCAAGCCCAAAGGGCTCTTATGTGAGGGGGCGTGATAGAGTATAAAACATATTCTTGGGCCTCAACAATCAATTTAAGCTTTTGGTTGAGTTGGTCCTCTAATTATACTATCCTATGTAGCCTACAGCCCTAAATCCAACAAGACCATCAACTCATCAAGATAACTCTGTTTAGACATATAGGCACACAGAGAACCATATATAGTTCAGAAAATCGTACAAGAAGAAATTTACAGATCTTGACAACAAAAGGCTACATATAAAATTTTCAAGCAACCTCCTACTTGGCTTTGATGAACCCCCGAAGATGACAAAAGTTAGTCCCTATATGAAAAAACCAATGCACATATATACGTAAGCATGAAGGTATAGCACAAGCAGATTAAGTAAATGGAAAGACATCCAGACATATAGCACAAATTAAAGGGAGGTGACTCAGAGTAGCACACTTTGATTACATGCTTCCTTCCAGTATCTGGTACATTAAAGGGGTCACAAAAGAATATACTGTCCCAGACCTATGAATAAGCTAATGAAAGAGGATCAAGTTTGAACATGGACAGATGATAAAACTTAAGTGGATGTAGTACAAAAAAAAAAAAAAAAAAAAAAAGAAAAAAAAAACTTTGGAATGAGGTGGTCAGAGATAGTAGAGATTGACCCACAGATTTAGATGCGTAAGAGGAGGCTTAGATAGTAAGACAGTTATACACTGCAGCACAAAAAGGGGTGTTGCAAGAGATTGAGAAGAGGATCAAGGAGAAGTAGTAGAGTAAATTATGACCGCGTTGAATTGGTTACTTAGTTACGCATGAGCTGACTGATTTAAATCTTTCACAAGAGATACCCTTTAGGAGGAAAATCTCTAGTAGGGGAGCAACACAGATCAGTAATAGAGTTGAAAAAAAAGGGACGTCATTTACTGGACCTAGGTATAATAAGGGAAGGAAAAAAAAAATTATGCTTATTGCTCTACGAAAGACATATGCTTCATCAATACTCCAATATCTATTGGTTAGGAAAGAAACTAGGCGGAGTTCGTTAAAGATACCCTAACATGAATCATCCTTTCGAAAGAAATTGAATAGCTCAACAGCATTAGGGAGATCTAATAAATAAAAGACTCAAGGAACTTGAAGCAATCCTATTCCCATCATGGCCAAATCGTCTAACCCCAGGCTCAGGTAAAGTAAACTTCCCCAAAATTCTTCATAGGGGAGCAGACAACCATGCCACAATTAAGAAATCTCTCAAATCTTACAAATAATGGCAACCCCAAAGGCTAAGACCCCAAATTGATGCAAAAATACAATAAATCAAAAATAAAATCAGACTAGCTGAAAATAATAATTGCATTAAACCAAAAATAACTAAATGTCTTTCTTTAAATTATTTTAACTTAGATGAAAAATATACAACCTTCATCTAAAAAAAAAGCACCAATGTTTTCTGAAATCAAACTTTGACTATTAATTTCTGTACATAGAATCATACTACAGTATTTAAATCTTATTATAAATGTTAAGAACCTTCTATTGCAAGACAAAATAACAAGAAAAGGTTATAAAAATGTTAATAAGCTACAATCTGGAGAATATTTGCACACCTTGTAAAATTAGTTAAACCACTTTGCCATGGTGTTAGAATCCACCTCTCTTCTTTATGTATTTTCCTTCATTTTGCTTGTGTTTAGCTTATGTAATGTTTTAAGTATTCTAGGCTCTACATAGAATTTTTGTGTTACTATCAGCCCAATGTTCAATGTTCACTGAGGGAATATTGTAAATACAAATTAAAGCTCTTTAAGGAGCAAGTGATTAATGAAATTTAAGGCTCCTACCAATTACACTTAATCTTGTGTGTTGTTTTATACTTTTCATACTAGTACTTCACAAATATCAAAGCAGCACCACCCCTAACCCTCCAAACAAATACAACTTGTCGTCGGATCCGCTTGTGCCTACCTCGACTCCCTCAGCCATCACAAGCCTCAATTGACTTTTGTCGCTACTCTTGTTGCTAATAGACAAGAGTGTCCCTCATACGCCTATCTTACTTGTGTTACTCAGTGCCACAAACCATTCAAACCCTTGGCTTGCACCTTCGTCGCCCATAGACGAGAGCACGCCACATGGATCCAATATCAAGATACTTTGACCAGCCACAAAACACATCATAACACCCGCAATAGCGCAACTACTGCTATGATATTAGAATTTATGCTTTATGTCACCCAAGTCCCCTAAGCCAGTTAGAAAAGATCCCCCCCCCCAAAGTAGCAATAATTGTCTAGAGGAAAGGATTAAATAAGACCTAGACCTACATTAATGTAGACTATTAGCTCATCAAAGAGTGCCAATACCAAATTCTAATCCAAAATCCCTAATGCCTCTAAATGACTCCAGCCTTGAGTGAAGTAAAAGAAGGTATAATATAAACAGCCTTACCCTTGCAATAAAAGAGGGATTGTTTCTTCTTGTGCCTTACCGCTTACACAATAACCAGCTATTTCAAAATAACATGGAGCAAAAACAGTTTATTGAGCCATTTTACTAAAAAATGAAGTCGCAATTTCATCCTAAGAAAACAAAAAGGGGAAGAGAAAGAAACAAAAAAGGAAACCCTGAATTCATTGTTGCAAGGTGGCTTCTTAATTTCTTAGTCTCTGGTTAGTTTAGCATTAAGTCAATCCCAAACTTAGCTATACAATGCAATAATCCTCCTGATTTCAAATAGGCCTCTTGTAAATAAGCTACAATCTGGAGAATATTTGCACATCTTTTAGAATTAGTATAAGTACTATTGTTGAGGGTGCTAGTGTAGGCTATCCTTAAAATACGTTGTATCCTATTAAAATTGCGGTGGTGGTCATTGTACTCCCAAAATTATAGCTAGTGAAGTTGTTTTCGTCCTTGGAGATTGGGACCGTAGTTTTTCTCCTTGTCGAGGAGGGGTTTTCCACATAAAAATCTTATGTGTTATTTCATCATTCCATATTTTATAATTCTTCCCGATATTGTGTTTATATGTTGCTCCATCCCCAACACAATTTACTCATGATGATTGGACACAGGTCAAAAACCTAAGAAACTTGTGCTCTTGTAAGCTTGGTTCAGCAAATGGGGCAACATATGCAAAGCCAAAACTACAAATACACCACCAGTCCATTTTGAAACAAAGGGAGTATACAATTGGAGCCTAATATCCCAATACCTGATTCTAATTGTCTAAATAACTAGACCAAAAACTTATTGGTAAGAAATCCTAAACTCTAACATTAACTAAATAGGGAAGTGGCACACGGAAACAAAATCTATTATATCTTTCAATCAATCATTATCCACTAGTGCTCCAGAAAACTATCCCACACATCAAAGGAATCAACCTGCAAAAAATATGCATATTCACAGATATCATACCTGACTAACAATGACATCAATCCACTGTAGCCTAAGAATGTCTGAAATGCTGAGGCTATTATGATGGCCCCTTGGATCTCCTTCATTATATGCTTGAAGTTCTGCAGTGGTTACAAATATATGAACAAACTTGAAAGACACTTAAGATATAATGGAAATAAGCTAATGTTGCTTGTGTAGTATCACTGTATCAGTCTATATATGAAATTATTCATAGAAGACTATCAGTGACATATAACCCAGAAAAATAAATTTAAAAGCAAAGCAAAGCAAACCTCAAATCAACCATATAACAAATAACCTCCTGCTTATAAACTAGAGTCTACACTAGTAATGAAGAATAGGAATAAGACAGTCAGAGATATAAAGTAGTTAAAATGGATGACACACGTCCAGCAGAAAAGTTAGGGATTCAACTATCTTTAGGAAACAAGTTGGACAATTCGGGGCAATGCAAGACTTTAGCCCAACTCAATGATGTGTGAAGACACAGGTTTAAACTTTAAAGCTTTAAGCAATATCAAAATGGATGCATCAGAATTTTTCAAAGACCAAGATGGTAAGGAACCTGCCCAAGGTAGATGCTCAAGATGTCTCAAAGAAATATCATAAAAGACTTAAAGTATCAGTAGACAAGATTGTACAGTAATTCTGAAAGTGAACTTCAATTTTCTTGCCAATCTGTCCCTTCATTATGTGGATGAATGAGCCAACCCGATTGCCTCCCCATGTAAAGGTCATGGAAGAAAAAAACACAAAAAAAAAAAAAAAAAAAAAAAGAAAGAAAAAAAACAGTAGTTTGCAGGGAGAGACCGCATGCATCTAGATCCTCTCAGATCAAAGCCACATAGAGAATCAAGATTATACTGTTCTGGAAACTAGTGCATAACTTTGAATTTTGCAAGTAAAGAACTGTCTAGGAGTGTCTTTTGTTGCATGTATACTACCACTATAGTTGGATCACTTTGCTGAATATGCACTGAAGTAGATACCAATGTACTACAAGATTTTAATTAAGTTTTTTTTCCAGAAGATCCCACGGTCCCACCTCAAGACCTTAAAATTTTGCAAGGAAAGAATGTCTAGGAGTGTCTTTGGTTACATTATGCTACTACTACTGTTAGCTCACTTTGCTTAATATGGTCTGAAGTAGACAAAAAAAGTACTACCAAGTATAAGATTATTAATACTTTTTTTGCAGAGGATCCCCACCCCCCACCCCCCCCCCCACCCCGGGGTCAAGAGCTTTCCCCAAAGAAGTTGTTTGTTTGCAGGATACAAACCCTCAAAGGATTTGGGCTACTGCTGGAAGGACTGAGGGGTTAGCACATATTCCATGGAGATCACAAAGACGCCAATTTTTTAAAACCTTTTCATGGTTTTCTCTCCAATTGATGGAACTTAGAAGTTAGATAGATATACAAACTGTTGACAAGATTTTGATGGCCCAAATAATTCTGGGATAGGCATAAGGTTGCATGTAAAGCTAAACCAGTATTATAATTGCTCATACCAGGAAGCATCTAGATCATTCTCAAACCACATACGAAGTAATGTTTAGAATCTCCAAACATACTCGGACTAACTTCATAAAGCAATAGTGGGAAAATCTAAAGCAGCACAGGAAAAAGATGATTCACAAAGAAAACATTTAGAATATGCCAAGGTTACTAACATACATTTCCATGCAGCTTTTGGAACTCCGTGGAATTAATTATTGCCAATGTTGGAGCCAGATAAACAAATGAAGGCCCTTGAATTAAGGGCAACCTAGTTCCAAAGAACGAATGCAATAGCGTTGTTACCCCCGTCATGAAGAGAACCGTAGACACTACGTTGGCTGTATCCTCCTACATTCACTAAATCACATTAGAACAACACAGTAAATATCCAAACTTATGTTTGAATTTGTGCTTACACAACATAGGCAACAGGTTATTAGAGCTTCAGTTATGCTTACATAAGATCCACCCATTGCCGGTACTATCACGAGAGGTATCAGAATTATTGAGCCCAATATCGAAATATAATGTTGAAGACCATAAAAACCAATGGGTACTGCAAAATTCAACCAACGAAAAAGTAACTTCCTATCAACACATAAACAAAGATCAAAACTTTTCAATACATATCCACTAACAAATTCAACCTCATCATGATTACTGCATAAAGATCACAACTTTCCATAAACCAATTATATTGCCACATTGTATAATTAAATTTAAACATACCACATTGCTTACATAATATTTCAATCAAACAAAACATAAACAAATTTCAAAGACAAACATTATTGATATAATAAAACTCACCAAGGCCAGGAGCATCCCTAAGTTCATACTTCATATGAGACTGCCTCCCAACAAACCCATCATCCTCCACAATGTGAGCCACTGCCTCTAAACCCTCCTCACTCCTCCCCTGCCCTCTTCGGGAACTGCCTTCGACCGCCTGTCCCGGCCCCGGCCCGTTCCCGTTCCCATTCGGCACCGGTGTCGGTCCCTTTGCCGCACCCCCACCACTCCCGCCATCAGAATCCCTCCTCCTCTTCACGGTCACCTCCTTCTCCCCGCCTGCCGCCGGAACAACCGCCGGAGTAGCTGCTGCAGGAACAGCGGGCGGCCCATTTGCCGTCGGTAAGGGCCTGGCCCGGCCCAACTCAAGATCAACAGCAGAATCTGAGGCCCGTGATTTGGGGACGGACCCAATTGGGCCAGAATCACTAGCATTAGTCTCACCGGAAAACTTGGGCCGAAACCCAGTTTTCTTAGCCCATGAAGTCGGCGGCATTGGCTTAGATTCCGGCACCGGCGGCCATGGACCGGGTTTGGGCTTCTTATTCGGGTCTGAACTCGCCATTTTTGTATTTTTCCGGGTCAAATCGAAAGCTATGAATCCATTACAAAAAATCCAAGTTAAAAAATCAAAATTAAAATAAAAATATGGATAGATCTGAATTTTCTCTGAGATCCAAGAAATGCAAGAAGAGCAGTAGCAGCAGAAGTGACAAAAAAATGGAAAGAAACGCGGTTTTTAAATTTTCTCTCTCCTCTTTTCTCACTCTTCTAGTAGAAGAAAGTACTGTAAGCAAGTACTACACTAGTAGTATCATTCAAAATGTTATTTTTTTCTTTAATTTCAAAATTATAGAGTAAATAATTTTGATTTTTTATTGATACAATGAAGATGATGATGTCATAAGGAAGAAGATATGGATATGATGCATGCAGTGGTCTGCAATTAATCCATACTCTGTTTATTGTTTTTGTCTTGCTTTGTAAGATTTTTAGGGGGAATTAGAGAGGCCCAGGTTAATCATTGGATAAACAAAATTTGTTTTTCACATGTTATTTCGTTAAATAAATCAATAAATTTATTCAATTATTATTGTGGGATCCGTTTTTATGGATAAACTTATTGGTTTATTTACCAAAATATCATATGATAAACAATAATTGTGTATCTCAGAAATGAACTTGTATTTACCTGGGAAATTATCGGATTAAGTATAAATTTTTATTGAACAAATTGGTATAACAAATATTCTAAAAAATAAAAAAATGATTTGGGTTTAGTATAATTTATATACTTTCTCTGTTCTCTTTTAAATGCAACACTTTCCTGTCAAAAAAAAAATGTAACACTTTGACTTTTACAATATTGATATACTCTACTTTGACTAGACTTACTAATTTATAGTTGTAGGATATTGTAAGATTCGGCTCGATAATTTATAGTTGAGGGATATTGTTAGATTTGTCTCGTTTTATGGTTTATAAATACCAATTTTTTATGAAAAAAACATGTGCGGATCTGGTTCACGATAATATTATTGTGGATCAGACCTCAGGTACATACGTGCGCAAGTGACGTTATGTGCATTGACCCTAATTTTAACATCATGACCTTTATTAAAATTTGTGTGTCCTTTAATATTATTTTGAACCTAAAGAGTACACATGTCAACCGACGTTATGTTTAGCATATAGTGACTTTTATTATTCATATTAACAAGCATATTAAAATTTCCAATTAAACAAAAATTTTAACCTCTTGTGACCTTTATAATAATACGACTTTTATATTAGGAAAAATTGATAAAAAAATAAAAAATAAATAAAAAAAAAATTCCCAACTTTGGATTATTTTTAATAATTCGAACTTTGGGGGTCATTTGCTCAAATGGTTCCAAATGATCGGTATTCTATCAAGGAGGTAAATTTTTTTTTTTTGGGGTTTAAGTGACACATGTCATCACCTGATTGGTTGAAATATTTTTTTTTTTTTTTTAAAAAAAAAACTTAAAAAAAAATATAAGAAACAGCCTCACCCCCGCAACATCAACAACCACTCACGTTTCTAGCAGCCCTCCTACCCAACCAAGCCAGGTCCATCCCCCGCCCTTGTTCTACGCTACACCTAAATCCCCCTTCCCCACGCTACCGGTGACGCCTCTTCTCCCTACCCTCGATCGTCCCCAAACTACCACCGCAAAACCCCAATCTCAATATCTCATTAAAAAAAACCCCTTCTCTCACTGTATAAACCCCTAGCCGCTACTCCCCCACCCTCAAAAGCCCTTGTCGTTAGGGTTCCGAGGGTCGGGGAGGGACAGTTGGGGGTTATATGGTGAAACGTGTCACCTTAACCTGTTATAACAGGTTGGGCGACCGGTTGGGACCATTTTGAGCGAATGACCCCCAAAGTTCGAATTATTTAAAAATAATCCAAAGTTGAGATTAATTTTAGCGAATGGGCAAAAGTTGGGATTATTTTTACCAAATTTTCCTTTATTTTAACATAATAATCTTTATTTTAACATAATGACTTTTTTTATTAATAAAATGACCATAATGTCTCTAATATTAGTGGTCGACAATAAATTAATGTAAATCTGATTTATTTAAGAGTTAGCAAATTTTTATAATGTTTCCATATTATTAATAAAAGATACTAATAACTGAAATAACGCTATTTGACAAGCGTATTATGAGAAGTGTTGTAAAAGAAAACAGAAAAAGTGTATTCTTAAAATAAAATAAAAAAAATAGGTCATACCTTTTACTTCATAAATGGAACATCAATTTATACTATTTTTTTTCCTTTCTTTCTAGATTAATGGAGATATTTTGAGTATAAATTATTTGTAGAAAAATATTATTTTGCTCAGGCACAGTAAAGCTTTAAACTTACTGAGACTTTTTAGAGGTTTGACTAAATGAAAAGGCTAATTTGAGTTTTTGGTAAATATATTATTGATCTAGCTTTTTGGGCTCATAAAACTCTGATCTTCATGAACAAGCTAAAAAATTAGAGCTTTTTTTTAGGTTTATTAGCTTATTGAAATTTTTTTAATTATTACTCAACCAGTCAATCAAACTAGCTAATACAATCAGCTTGTCAAACTAGTTAATATACCAACTATACATATCAAACAACTACCACGTAATTATCAAACAAGGCCTATAACACCAAATTATTATCAAGTACTTCCTCCATTTTTAATATTTGCATCACTCTGACTTATTCACTATTTACATGCCCCGTTTTATTTAAATTTTTTAATATTATAATATGAATAAATATTCCTTTGTATTATGTAGTAATATATCATTAGATTAGTTACATTGTCGATTTTCATAATTTATTTTTTTATTTAAGACATTAATGGTCAAAGTTATCTCTTAATAAATTTGTCGGTCAAAGTGATGCAAATGTTACGGAGTAAAAAAAAAATGGAGCGAGTATTAGGTAAGTTTATCCCTCAGACCGAGACTCATACTTTAGGCTCTACCACATCTGTTGGATTAAAGAGAGTAAAATCCATGTTTTTTGGAAGTTGATCATTTTACTCCACAAGTAGGTTTTACCCTACAATATTTGCCCACAAGTGGGTTGTGGAATAAACTTTTTCATGTCTATTCTAGAAGGAAATCAGCTTACTCCACAAGTGGGTTGTGACCAACAACGATTCCCCACAAGCGAGTTATGGAGTAGACTTTTTGATGTCTAAAGTCATTCTCTTGGTATTCTTCTTATTTCTCTTGGATTCCCTTGTAACCCGGCCCCCCATTGAAGTGAATGATTATGGTAATTTAATCAAGCTCGTCATTCTGATTTAATCACCCCTTTGGTGTCTAGATTCATTCTTTGAAGCTCCTTGCATTGTTATATATTGCTTGGAACATTTGCTCAATGAGAATAGACATACTACAATGTACTTATCCACAAAGTGCTAAACACATTTCTTCTTCTTTTGGGCATAAGTTTATATGGCTCCACTTATCACCCAAAAGTGCCTTTGAGTGAGAGTGGTGTGTAACCTTAGGGAACGTACCGGCGATACAACGTGCATCCCCGATTGCGCCGGAATTCGTTTTCAAATTCAGTGACGAAATGTCACGCCACACCATTTTCCTGTTGATCGAACAAAAACATTATTCTTATATTTTTGTAGCCTTTAAAACACTTATTTTACAACAATTTTGAAAACCAATTATTAATTTTCAATGGCTACTCAATGGGTATTGATTAAAAGATTGTATGGTGTGAGAAAAATAAATTGTTTTTTTTTTGAAAAAGTTTATGTTCACATTTGTCTGGGAGCAAACCCGAAGATGACCCCCAATTGAAGGTCATTCGTGGTCGGTTTTGGCTGAAATTTTGAGAGGTTGTTCGGGACATACAAGGCTTCATTTTTAACAGTTGGATCGTTGAAAGCAGCTCACATTTGGGATTTATGATGACATCTTTGAGCTGCATTTTTGGAGTGGATGTTGGGCATATATATTACGAGACTGCTCATTCACATTTCTTGAATTAATTTAAGGGAGGTCCATTCTAAACCAATTTTTATATTAATTATGTTTAGCTTGTGGTTTAATATCTAATAATCCTCTAGACAAATATATGAGTTGTGATTTTTTGGCATTATAATGTTGGATGATTATTTTGTCCATAATGTATTATTTGTTATATAATTATTAGTTTATAGGCTAAAGTATAATCCATGTTATATATGTGTAAAATTACATGGTATGATTATTTCTATCTCTTTGTTCTATTCTGTTGGTTTGAACTTAGTACTTAGAAATATGTTAATTGGTTTTATTTACCAATTTGTTGGTATTTTGAACATATGTATTGTTTTGTTCATTGAGAAAGTAAATGTTAGGCTATTGTATTAGATTAATTTCTATGAACAATATGTTGAGTACCTAATGTTTACATGCCTATGTTGATAGATAATTCATGGTTATTTAAGACTTGACAAACTGTAGATTTTATAAGTTTTACCATGAAATTTGTGTTACGTTGAGTATGATATCAAAGATTATTATTTTTAGCAAATACATACATTGATATGTATATGTCATGCTTGTGGAAATTTTGTTCATGCTCAATGCTAAATGCCTACATTGCATTTATCCATGATATTTCGTGAACTTGTATAGTTTTACGATTTATTGAGTGAGTGAAGGTTTGAATAGAATCTTGCAAATATTGTTTGTGAAATGTTATACGCTTTGTCCCCTAAGAGGACTATTTATTTTAATGGTTGTTGCTCTTGAGACTCTTAGGTGTGTCAAGCTTCCATAACTCTTGTTAAGTAAAACTTGACTACTATTATTTATTTTACTCTTAATGATATTTTTTGGGTGACAATATTTTATTTTTTAATGTGTTAACTGTTTAGGGTAAAAATTACCCCACCACGTGGTCCAATCCTAAAGTGACACGTGGCGCAATGAAAGGGCGACACATGTCTCAATAGGAAGATGACACATGGTAGCTATAGGAGCACCTGGATAAGAGAGAAGACCTCCTTACATCAGGAGGCCCAAATCCCGAGAAAAGCGCCCTTAACGGCGCCCCCAAGGACATGTGTCCTCACTTGATTGTGTTGCCAATCAGTGCTCTCCATTTTAGGGTACCAACCCTAGGATGCACACATTCCCACCCCTATAATACCCTAATCATTAGTGATGGGAGGGGTGAATTGAGACATATCATAAAAAAAGGCATACAAAGTGCTCTAACTTCTCTCTACTTTCTTTCTCTAAATATCTTTGTTTTTCGGTTACTAACTTAACCGTCGGAGGCGAATATTCCATCACCAGAATATTCGTTGTTTTGTAGGTGTCTACGGCCGTCTGGACATATTCATGACCTGTATCCTGAGGGATTCCAAAAAACCCCGAAACATTTGGCTCCGTTTGT